ATATTAGGTTTTTTATATATGTATACACACAAACACACACACATGTATGTTTGTATATATAACCTACAAGAATGGAGGAAAGTAGCCAGGCAGAGGTAGCACACACCTCTAACCCCAGCACTTGGAGGCTGACAGATCTGAGTCTGAGGTCAGCCTGGTCTACAGAGCAAGTTCAGGCAAATCAGAGCTACACGGAGAAACCCTGTCTTTGAGAAAGAAAATGGAGAAAAGAAAAGGACAAGAAATAATGAGATGAGAAAATAAACAGAGGCTTGGGAATAGAGTTAGTGTCATTAAATGCAAATAGGCTTCCCTTAGAAGGCAGTCAGTAGCAAAGTGGGAAGAAAAAAAAAGACCCAATTACAAACCTCTCATAAGAAATCTTACTAACAGAGAGCATTAGAAAAAGATATGCTATTCCAAGACAAATCAAAATAAAGCTGAATGGCTACACTGACGTCAAGAAAGTTGAATTCAGGGCAATAATTATTTACCATGGTAAAGAGGATCATTCATAACAAAAAAAATTGTGAAGAGGGGTCACTAAAAGTACATAATAAGTATTTATCTAATAACAGGCAAAAATAGGCTTAGTAATAGTTACTGGTGGAAAATTTAACCATTCTCTAATAATGAATGTAGCAAGTAGACAAAATGATTCAGGATTAAGAGCAGAACAATGCTGTCAACCAACTTGACCCATGTTGCGGGACTGGTCCTCCACACGCTAACCACAGTAAGTTCACCTTGCAGCAAGCCAACATTCAGCAATGCCAAATTGTGCAAAACAAGTCATCCCTCACATAGAAGGACAATGTTCAGTAAGAGCTGCAGAATTTCTCATAGGGCAACGAGAAAGTAGACTCAAATATGTAACGTGTTGTTTCTTTAGTTCTTATTTGCTTTCAAGTAAAGTTTATTCCTACATCTAAGAATTAAGCACAGCGTGAAGAAGAGGAGGAGGGCGGGGACTGAGGAGATGGGTAAAGTGTTTGCTACACAATCATAGGGACCATATTTGGAACTCAACCCACTTAAAAGCTGGATGTGATTGTGAGCAGTACTCTGAGGGCAAAATGGAAGCAGAAGCAGGAGACTCCCTAGAAGCTCTCAGACTAGCTAGCCTGGTTTGTCAGCAACGAACAGGACACCCTGCCCCAAAACAAGGTGGAATGTGAGGACTGCTGCACTCTGACCCCTCACACATACACACACACACACACACACACACACACACAAGCATGCGCGCGCACACAGGTTGCTACAATCTGTTTAATTCTTAGATATATGAACAAGCTTTACTTGAAAATGAATAATGATGCAAAAACATCTGTCAGATTGATTTTAAATCTGGCTTATTTACAAGACTTACCATGTGCAAAATTTTCTAGGTAGAGACATAAGTATTTAGAACTCAAAATTTGTTGCTAACAGCCAGACATGGTTCATAGAAGGTGCATTCGATCCTCTGACCAATGGTACAGTTATTTTTTCTTCTCAGGAAATTTCTCTATAAAATTACTAGCATTCTCTAAGCCAGGTCTATGCTAAACTGGTATGAAATACCACGAAAGTGTGGCACCTGAGGTCTTAATTTAGGAAAGATGACAGCCAACCCCAGTTTAAAGCTCTTGAAAAGGAACTTCACCCACATTAGCTTTGCAAATTGACTATTTGAAGTTTCATACCATGAGCTGAAAAAAATGGCACCCCAACCAGGGCGGTAGTGGTGCACACCTTTAGTCCCAGCACTTTGGAGGCAGAGGCAGGCGGATCTCTGTGAGTTTGAGGCTACCCTGGTCTGTGGAGCAAGTTCTAGTACAGACAGTTCTACACAGAGAAACCCTGTCTAAATAACAACAAAAAATTATATATAATATGTACATATATATGCATATATATTCCATTAATTATCTAGATTACAGCCTTTGGCAATCAATTTTCTCTTCTCCAAGTTCTTCATATCCGGCATCATGAGGATAATCCAGCTCAGGAGTCCACACTGACCATGTCCTGGGTTCAAGCACTTTAGCCATGGATATGAGTCCCCTCACATCCTCTGCATCCCTCTCTCTGTCGCCTCAATTCAGCAATATCGCCAGTCATTGCCCAAGTTCTTCAGCCCTGTGCTGCATTCTGGAAACTTCTCCCACCATAGACAGCTCGGGCAATTTAGAGCCTGCTTTGATTCTACTATGTAAGTGGCCGCCCCCGTGCAATAAAGTAGACGATGTTCCCTGAAGTCATCTCCTGAGTGGTTCATCTCTGCGCCCTCTACCAACCCTCTGGTGTTGCTTTCTCAGCTGGGGACACCCCGGGAATGACAACAATGCCCCATAACTCAAAACAAAAACGTGCATATGTCCAAGTCTGGTAGACAGTTGGCTATATCATTTGAAAGATGAAGCTAGTCAAAGAACCCTCAGTAAATACTCGCTGTTCGTCAACATCTCCAAGTCGGAAAACAAACAAACAAACAAACAAACAAAAAAAAAACCCTCACCCTGACCCTAATAGATGGCACCTGTCATCAACCTGATGGCCTGAGTTTGATTTCTGGGACCCATGAAAAAGAAAATTGACCCCTGCAAGTTCTCTGGCCATGGCCGTGCCGTGACACACGCACCCACACATACCCACACATGTGTATACACATAAACACAAATAAATTAATGTAAAGATAGATTTGAACTACCCCAAGCTCTTCCCAAGTATGAGATCAGCTAGCTTCTCACCAGCTCATGCTTGATTTTCTAAATATTTCCTCGCCTTAGGAAGCAGTTTGCTTGCTGGCCCTCTGCATCTGCATTATCAATGGGAGCAACAGCTATGACCGAAGGGACCACCCTCCCTGGCCAACGCCCCTTAGACGTGGTGAAGGTTCTCAAGTTTTGCTTTTGTAAGAAAAGAGATAACAAAAAAAAAAAAAAAAGAAAGAAAGAGCCATTAAACAAAAGGAACCAGTGTTTCCAGGGAAACTGAGGTTTCCCTCTAGGTTCTGAGCCTGTTAATTAAAAAAAAAAAAATCCAAGGGAGACTCAGAAGGAAGGTCAAGGGTAATTTTGGTGGAATTTGAGAGAAAAGCACCAGGGCAGGAAGGCTGCACACCTCAGCAGCTACCTGGAGGGGTGAGATAAAAAAGAGGAAGAGAGGGGGGCAACCATTTGGATGTCGACGAGCAGCTGCGTGGTGGAAGATGGAGAAAAACAGAAAACCCAGAATGCCAGGGAGAGCAATGCTTAGGGTTTGGCCAGCACCCAAACTGGAAAGAAAACAAGAAGTTATGATTTTCTGAGTAACTCAGAAAAGTGAACAGGCAGCAGCTCCATAAATCACTGAGCAGTGAAGGGGCTTCTGGGTAAGACAGACTATCTCACTAAGAGGCTAATTAATTAGTCCGCCCCTCACCTCACAAGTCTGTTGGGGAAACAGGTTTCTGACAAGGTCTGAGTGAGTGAAGAGTAGGTTACTGGTCCAGTGATTGACAGGACAACTATAGTAACTCTTTGAAGAAGGCCATTTAGAAGGTCAGGTCACCCCCCACCCCAGGCCAAGAGGTAGAATTTCGATTCTGTTCTTCTGACAAAAAAAGTTTTGTCTTAGTGGGCCTCCATTGAGCCTAGATACTTTCACTTTTCAATAAAGAATTTAAATGCTAAGGGGGGGGGTCTTCCTTTCTTACATTACCAGAAGAATAGGAGGTAGCGCCCAAAGTCCATGAGGGACAGATCCATCCTCATTCTCCTACCAGCTAATAAAAATCTGTCTAACTACTAGGACATGGGAATTATGTAATATCTAGTCTCTCCAGAAATAAGTTAAAGTCAAGAAATGGCATCTGAGGAAAAACAGAAGTGAGAGGGGCTTATCTGCTTTCTGAATAAATCTGAAAACTGTGGTAGGGTCAGTGAGGTAGCAAAAGCCTAGTGACTCTGGGTAACTTTCCTTGAAAAATCTTGTCTGCTTCTCCTGGGTGAAGCAACATCCAAAGCCTCCCCACCAGTCCTTTGGGTAATCTGGGGTCACTTCTCGGTAGAAAGGGAGATAATGAAGACCGACTTACGTCAATATTGGACACAAACACAGTGAAGCGACCTGCCAGGGAAAACTCAGGAAAAGACATGGGTATCTTTCATAAAG